CTAAAGGGCTGTAATTCGTAGTGCTTTTATGAACAAAGTACAGACTTGATCCCTTAATTGGCTTTCATCTCATCCATGTACGCCCCAATTTCAGAATTATTCAAGTATATTGTAGTAGCACTAAATTAGAAGATGCAGCTGATTTTTGACAAAGAGCAACATCGAAACATTTTTCTGAAAAAAGCCAAGAGCCGGAAAATCTCTGTCGAGCGCATGTCAAATACAGAGATAACAGGTCCGTCACTGGGGATTGAATGATTCGATATAAAGTCGCCGTAGCATAAAAGGGAAGGTTTTCGGGTGTGTTGGGCGGCATTCCGTAACTGTGACCGGTATTCTGAACACTTAACCCGCGATGAAACAGGTAAAAAATAACAAAACTCATACTGGTGAGTTCTCAGAGTACCAGGCTAGTAAACATACGGCAGTGTTAAATCTATGTGTACTTAAAAAAATTAATCCATTTATCCGCCCTCTGCGGCCATATGTTGCAAGGGTGGGAAAAAGGCCTTTTACGGGGGCATGGTCCCAAATTCTTGAACAATAGCAACTTTTCGGAAGGACAGGTGTCTTGAATGAACAAAGGAGTTGATAGCAAAGAGAACTGCCAAAAAATTCTTAGCTTGATACAATAAGATATTGGTGCTTTAATCTTGTAAAAGGAATTGCCCTGAATTTTATTTGAATGATTTTTTACTTTTTCCTGTCAGTCAGAGTTTGTAACTTTTGCTAGTTTATGGATACATTCGATGATTTTTGGTTCTTGTTCAATCCGGCATTCCTTATTACGGCTGCTACAGCTATAAGCGACCAAATAAATCTGTTCCAGCGACTCATCAGAATCTATAGTGTGCCTGAGGCGTGAAGTAAAGAAAATTGCTTCGCCAGCATTTTGTCTGAGGTACAGATTGTCATGACCGGCGAGCAAGCAGTCAGTAGAATCAGTGTTGATCAATGTCTGCAGTTTGGTCGCCAGGTCAAAGGGTCCTCTCTTGAGTTCGGGACCTTCAATGAAGTCACAAACATTTCCATCTCGAGAAGATGAAAATAAATAAGTGAAGAAATATAACAAGAAAAATTTTCAAGGCCCAGCGGGTTAATTAATCGCAAAACAGTTATTACGATTCGGATTTATTTGCTAGTTTTCTGCACAAGTTTCCCGACATTACAAATATATACATGGCAGCTTACATTATTCAATCAGCTTTCTATTTTTTTGTTGTTGTTCTTGCTATTTTTTTTTTCACAAACTCCGTACCCAAGCTAACAAAGAAAACAGTAATTAATTTATGAAAAGGAGTCTGTGTCAGTAGTTTTAAACATAGCCGTTTTCCAAGGACACACGACCATATTATTCCAGAACTCCTTCTCTTAGAACGCTCCCCACCTTCTATAATTCTCGTGTCAAATCACTGCTCGTTTAGTTCTTAACCCCTCCAGCTCGACACACTATCTTACCACAATTTAGTGACAAAGATAATTGTGACACTTGGCAACTGTTTGGCACAAGTGACCAGGGCTTCTCTTTTATGTTTAAAGTACTGTTCAAATCAAAAACAAAAGAGGGAAATGCACAGAAAAGAATTTAAAGCTTCTCTTTGGAGGCCGACCGATTAAAAAAAAGTTAGGTTAATATACGAAATCGAGTTGAACAAGTACTTTTAACAAATTTTCTGTTGGAGCACTCAAAAATTGTGGGCAGAAGTCCGCGTGATATGATACCCACGTTTTTAATTTAGACTCCGGTTATATCTAAATTTGTACTGTAGTAATAATTAAGGAAAACAAGTCCGGATAAAAAGTATACGATCACAGCGGGGGTTGTGATTTTTAGGCAGTTAGTCCAGATGAACTCTTTGATGTAGTTAATAGAAAAGCAAATAAACATAAGCGAGGTGTACTTGATTTAATTAGCTGTATTGTTCAACGAGTTTCACGTTTGGCCAACTGAAATTTAGCCGATCCGTGTTTGAAAAGTCCACGTGCAAAATAAAGCGATGTTTAATTCATGTGCACACCTCAAGTGTAGATTAGAAAGATTGAATTCAATTTTAGGGCTTTAGTCAAAATAACTCCCTTTCTTTTGAAATCATAAGTGTGAAAGCAGACGCTAAACAATGGAATCACTCTATCCTTTCTATTAACGCTCGACATAAAAATCGGTTCTCATTACCCAGGCTTTTTCAAGCGTTATTATTTGATACAAGAAATCAAACTCGTTTTCGTTACATTTATGGGACGAAAAAGTCAGAGTGTATTTCCCAATTCCATTAACGAAAATGCTTTTGGCGGCGTGCGAAATGCAAACATGTCAGTATAAACAGCTCTATTAACACGTACAAAATGTTATGTAAATAACATCGTTTACCTTTCTATAAAGTTAAAGATATCTTGTTAAAACCGTCTTTAAGCTGCGCATGTCGTTTCTTGTACCTAATAAGCGATTCAAGTTTGCCGTCTTAGATTCTCTGCGGATCGCTAAACACACAAACCAGCGAATTTAATTTGCAACAGATCTTTATCGGCCTTGACAGACAAGCTAAGCTTTTAGAACAATAAAAACTCCACCGAATGTTTTCTTGCAGCCGATGGAAACCAACTGCACGCTTAGACAGAACACGCGCGCGGCGCGAGATTTGCAAACGCAATGGTAAATACACAGTTAAAAGCCCTTGGATCGATTTGAGTGCAGTAGTTTAATCTCTTTGACTGTCAAACGATCGTGAAGAGGGGGCGTACCATTGCAATTCGCACTCAAATTTGAACAAGCCGGTAATATGACCACAGCTAGAAGAGTTTTTAACATTCCCTATAATTAACACTTGAAGTCGGGGCCTAAGGCAAGTTGACCCTTCAAATCGATTCCTTTATTAGTGAATCTCCGCTCGTTCTCCAGAACAATGAGCCTTTCGATTTAATACAAGCCTGCAGCTGGAATCCTTATCGCACGTTTAAATAGTAGGTGTGATTTATTGTGAGCGGACAAGATGATGTGCGTTGTACACAGACGCAGCGTCAATCAAAAGCGGCACATCAAAAGGCCTCTAATTAAATCTCTCAGTTTTTAAGGCCATCGATAATTTCACAAACCACGCCTGATGACTCAATATTTCCCTTGCGTGTACGGCCACTGCTAGAGCTAAGCCAAAAGGCAAACACAACTCCAAAGGGCGAGCATTGAAACTGCGAAGGGCCCGAACCGGGAGGTGAAGTGCTAAACCGCCCGTAATCTCATTCCATTTTTTTCTAAATCACTGTACACTCCAAGCAGCGGCGGGCTCCTTTGATCACAGGATTTGAGGTACGGTTACAATGTGCTTTACGTGTTTTGTTTAGAAACCTTTCCAGCGAACCTTGAAAAACCTAGCTTACAAATATTTGCTTGCAACAACTGATGCGTCGTGGAATCCTAAAGTCAGGTCAACGAGGCATTCTTCTAAAGGCCACATCTTCTGTTCAGCAGCCTGACAAATGGATCCAAATTATGACAAACATAATTATATACAAACCATGAACAGTGAAACAAACCTCAGCGTTCAGCTGAGCGTTGTCAATTTTTTTCTTCCGTAAACCTCGCTACTATCGATTGCTAAGTTAGGTTAGACCCTCTTTCTGCTCATTCACAACCCTAACGCTGGACTGTTAAAAACTAAGAGTGTTTTTCAAGCCGTAAATCAATAACATCTCTTCAGTAGAACTTCACGTCTGTTTTTCAGTATTTAAGGAAATGAAATTTTAATATTTTTCTTTTATTTTGATTTCTACTGGAAGTAAAAGGATTAATTTCCCGTGAAACTTGTTAAGGCAGAGAATAGCTATTACAACAACACACAAAGCACTGTGTCTTTGGTGAAACATTACTCAGCGGGAAGGCCGATTTAGAGCAACCACATAGTGCGATCAGACATTTTCTATTATTCGAACGCATTAGAAAGTTGTAACTTTGGAGAAACCCCGCGGCTGAAAATTAGGAGAACAAGTCAAATATTTAGCTGGTTATCATCGCAGACAAGGAAATGAGATTGGGCAAGCGTTTTTACTGAGATTTTGGAAGAACCTAAACACTCTTTGAAATAGCAATTATCATCCTTGCTAGTTACAAACTAATTATCCCCGTCGCCTGAAAATCGCGTCTCAAAACAAATGCTGATTAAGCGCGTCTTCTAGAGTTAATCGGAATGCGATTAGAAAGTGAGAAATTAAAAACGACCAAAACTTCCACTAAGGTATGCAGACTTGTTACAGTGGACAGGAAATGGTGAAGGCGAAGCCAAAGAAAGAAATAAAAAATTTAAAGCCAGATGTTACCCGACGGCGCCATCACACAGGCCCGACATATTGTAAATGCGAATATACGGATCAGTAGTCGTAAAGATCTGTGTCTTTATGCCATCATATTTGCCGAACAACCCTAGACCGCCCCCTCGGTGATTTTTTGAACGCCCCCGAATGTTCAGGTGCCACCCACAAGTTGTGTTTACGTCTTGAAAGCTTTTCCTCAGATCAACACTGTTTGAAATAGCAATATTTCTGCCATCTGTGGAACCACTTTGCCCTCACAAAAAATGGAAATAGCGCGCCGGGCAAACTCGCGGAAACTTGTGAAGAAATCTGCCATTGAAACAATTATGGTTTCCGATTCTAATCAAAAGGTGTGAAGTAGCAAAACTCCATAAAACGCGCAGTGTTGTTTTCGGGATTTTTTTCTTGAACCTCAACTTAGCTGAAAGCCTTTCAACGAGGTGCAATTGTGGAAGCATTTTAATCGACCTTAAAACTCGCTCAAACACCCGCCTGTAGGCGATAGACGCTTTTGTGTTTGTTGGTATAGATTGGTTCGGAATAATAGTTCCATTTGGAGAGACTTATTATATATCAACAAATCCCTATCATTCAATCACATTGTGTCATGAAAGACACTACTGACATTCTGATTGGCTGTGTTTACGAGTGGCGGCATCTCAAAAGGTTCTCTACTCAGGGTTTTGGTTGAATTGAATCAACAGTCTACAACATAGTCAAGGGGCGTGCAAAGTTTATCTTAATTTGTTGAACCAAATAGCAGCCGAACTAGCCTTGAATAAGCTCTAGCTTAAGCCCATGAGCAAGAGGCTTTCTCGCCAGGTTTGTTCCGTTGTATTTGTACAGGAATTTAGCGTGATTTGATTATCAACTTAAGCTGATTAATGAACGCGCGCGCTGACACGATCCTTTTACGCTGTACACGTTTGATTTTGTACTTTTTTCAGGAGCTGGGAAACGCAACAAAAACCAGACTGACACCTCTTGCGATGCTTGCAGCAACTTGCAGCAGAATCGGCCAACAAACTCCACCGCCTGTTCCCGACGTCACAATGGCCAAAAGTTTCTACCACTGGAAACAGCCGACTACATTGCCTCTGCAACGGGGAAGACCAGCTGACAGCGGACTGTATTCAAATATGCCGTCAGCTTTTTTGCCCACAAGCGAGTCCTTAAGTGGACAAAACAGTGAGAGCTTTCTTCCAACCCAGAGTTATTCGACCGGACATAACTCCCTCTCCGATCCATTAGCTTTAGCCTCAGCGAGCCGAGTACACTCTGCTTCGGTCGAAGCGTCTATGTATCCACGAATGCCACATCCGTACGACAGCTCGCCGTGGTTTAAGCAGCACGGCAGACGTTTTGGGAAGTCCACGGTAATCCTTCGTGGTTAGAAGCGAGCGTTTCTGGTGGTACTTTTCATCCATCCTTGAGTCATTTCACTGGACTGCCGCATGAGTACACCACAGGAAGTTTATCTATTCCCGCTGCGGTTTCCGTGGCGAGTCACCCTCACTTTCTTCCCCCTCCGTGCCTTGGCTCAGATCCCATGAAGGCTACGCTACCGACGTACATAGATGGACCTTCCTATTTCCCTGGAGCGCCAGGCTTGTTGTCTTCAACGCAAAGCGTGGCAGCGCGAGCAACCCGACGATATACGGGTCGAGCAACTTGTGACTGTCCAAACTGCCAAGACAACGAGAGACTAAGCGCGTCCGGGGCCCCTTTTAGGAAAAAAACCCAACACATTTGTCACATTCCTGGCTGTGGCAAAGTGTACGGTAAAACTTCGCACTTGAAAGCACATCTACGATGGCACACCGGTGAACGTCCATTTGTATGTAACTGGTTGTTTTGCGGCAAGCGCTTTACACGCTCTGACGAACTGCAGCGACATCTACGGACGCACACGGGAGAGAAACGATTCGCTTGCCCCATCTGCAACAAGCGGTTCATGCGAAGTGATCACCTGGCCAAGCACGTTAAAACGCACAACAATGACACGGTAAAGAAGGGAGACTCAGAGAAGGAAGACAAAGACGAAGGAAAGATTATGAGCGCTAGTGAAAGTGAACGATCTAGAGACTTGTCTGAAAATGGCGAGATTATCAAGGGTTTGTAGATTGCCATTGCAGTGGCAACGGAAGCGACACACTTAAAAGTAAAATGCTCTCTTAAACTATGATTATCTTCCTACGGCAGGACGTTTTGAGCTCGCACTAAAAACTTTGTGTGGAGACCAATGAATAAGGTACTCAATCACGGTTACGCTGTATATAATGTTTGACGTCGGTGAGACACAGAGAGGTATAAGATTTCCAAGTTCGAAATATTTTCAGTGAGAGATACGCATATGGTGCCTGTTCGGTTAAAAGACCATGAGGATTTCAAGCCCGCACATTGTAGAGCATTTCCGATAACAAGAAAATCTTATGAACTTTAAACTAGTGTACAAAATAATGAGAGAAAATGACTCATTTCGCAGAGAATTCAATGATATGCTATAGAGAATATGACTATATCTCAAGATTTGTTCAGGTGTATTTAAGTTTGTAAGTTTGAAGTTATTTAATTGAACAAAGATACAGTTTTAACAAGGATTCGGAATATTGCTATTGAACTGTACATAACACTCGAGAAATTCATGAGGCAGAGCTAAATCTTTCCAAACTAAATTAAAGAGTACTGATGAACTGATGCGAGGTTGTCCGTTTGTGAGTTTACGAAGATAAAATATTTTTAAATTGTTATCTGAAAAATTTGCCTTTATGAAGTGCGAATTAAGCAACTATATCAATATAAAGATAATACTAAAGTTTTCGGCAAACACCAGGTTCCTGGGGAGCACTACAATGGTTTTCTCTACGGGATACTGAGATGGGTTACCTATCTAGCACGAAAACTGATTGGGATTGTAATGGCTTCCTGCGGTAAATAGTTACTTCTACTGTCTACAGATAAACTATTTCAGTGACACTGCATTGTTGTCAAAATCCCTTCAATTGCACAAAGGTTTACAAACACTCGATTAAATAGCTTGTATTTTCAAAGTGTTATCCTTATCGGAATACTAGCCTATTCCGGTGACAACTAAGTATATCTAAACTAGAAGTAACGGCTTTATTACTAGATGAAGAAGAAGTGCACGGTTATGTTTAGTGATGTCTGATAGAAACTGTGCTGAAATGAAATTTTGCACTGAAGCGTCAGCTGCAGCCGAACTTTATAAATATTATTATAATGTACTTGAAATCATTTTCTAAAGATATAGATGACCAGCTTTCTTCTGCTAACAAAGCATACAGTCATTTCTCTGGCCGTAATCGCATTCACTGCATCGGTTTTGAATAGAGTACTACAACGGACAAGAGCTATATTTCTAGTATGAATTTTAAGAATAATATGATCATTCAGGTTTCCAGGTCGATTAAGCAAGCAATCTCAAACAAAACTGACACATTCTCTAAAAATCTTATGCACTTGAAAACCTTTGCTGTCATTTTGAGATGTCTGGAACCAAGAGAGGATAAAGCTTTTCCTCTCTTGCTGGAACAAAATCTAAAAATCTCGAAAACAAGTACTCGTTAAGACTTTAATTTAGTAACGTTCTTTTCTCTTATTATTTCAAAATCGTGCAGTTATGAAAATTGTGTTCTGACATCAAGCAATCTTTAGGCAGAAAAGTGTGAACGCAGGAAAATTGATTCAAGGGGAAGTGTTTTATTTGTAAACCTTATCAACTTAAATCAAGTGCTTTTTCACACCCATCTTCAAGTGTTTCAAATTGGCTCCTTTAAAGCTTAAGCAAGAGCTAGGTGATGGCCTTTTATTCTTTTAAGTTGAACAAAAAGCATTCTTCAATCTTTAATCTTCATTAGAGCGTGGACGGTTCTCTTCCGAGCCGCCGTCGGGGTGTCGATTCAGATAATTGAAGTCAAGCTTTTTGTCCCTGAGCCGGTAATAGAGGCTACAGCGCGTTCAGTTCTATAAGCATGCAACTTGCCCTTGCGCTTCTACTATCAGCTTTAATTTGGCGCCAGCCACGGCCGCCCATCGTGAGTTTCCACCGAGATAGAAAGGCTTTTTTACGCCTGTAAAATAGACTTTAATTCTCCTCTAAACATGGCATAAACAACTCCGCGTGGTGTAAAACGATCATGTTTCCTAATTTGCCCAAGGCTATGGAAAAGTTTCTGATTGATACTTGCTGTATTTATTAATGAAAAAAAGTCGCTTTGAGAGTGAAGGATAAATACATATCTATATAAAATGAAATTTTTCCCAACCGGAAAACCCTTCGCACACAAAGCAAACCACAAGAATAAGTGCAGCACCCTTCTCGAAAAAAACTTGAGGGCTTTTTGCCTTTTTACTCGAGATAATCACTGTTTTTGTTTGTTCTTGCTTTTGATGATATGGCAATTTTAATTCAGCAAGTCCCTAGAGAGGTCTTTCTTTATGTTCTTCGAACCTCCTTAGACACGGTCGATAAACAAACCTAAATTAGAGTTTATACGCCGTGCCGACAAAGGGCCCCAGTGACCGCCTCCTTTAAATTGCTGATCATCTTTGCACGATTGTCTCGCGAGATATTACGTGTGTGTTGCTTTTTCTCCATTATGAACACAAGAAAATAACTCTTGGCCGATCTAATTGTTTTTACAACAGCTTGTCGCAGTTGTAATAACGACGAACAATTTGCGCCGTCTGAAGAAGGAGAAGCTAAAGAAATCAGACCAATTAGGTGTTTTGCACCATCTAAAGCTGCAGCAGTCCGTATTTCAGAGGTAGAAGATTTAAGTGCGAAGCAGCGGGATATAATTGGGTTTGCATTTAACGGCTTATGATAATTATCAAGGCGTCTTGTTTAATGACAGTTAATAGTTTCCAAAATATTCCTTTACTTAGTTCTTTCTCCCATCGGGGGGTGGTTACAGCGTGTGAGCCGGGAAGCAATCAAACATGGCGGATAACCTGTACAAATTCGAACGAGAACTTGGCAAAATAAAACCCTGTCCACAACAGCAGCCTGAGACATTATGAAGCCAAAACTAAAAAATGAAACGCAGTTATATGGTACTAGTGTTAAATGATAAAGAAATCAAACTTTGCATCAGTCAAACATGACTAATTACCTACATGTATGTGAGGTTCAAAACAAAATTATAGCATCATTTCACAAGTGTGACTTTCTGCTGCGACCAAAATAAAAATTAAAGTTAATCCCTTATTTAATTTTTTCAGATACTGAGACATCAGAAAGTGGTAATGAGGAGATTTTTCGCTGCACAAAATTATTACAAAGTTTGAATTGCATTACCGGCGACTTAACGTCTGCCTCTGTGTGAGTAGGTTGACAAAGGGTGGATGTGTCCGAGAATGGAGGAGGTTGAACGGTAAACACCGGAGTTATATCAGACAATCTGCTTTGGATTTAAGGCAGGTTGATTTCTGCCATTTGCTTGTTCTCTAGAGCGGGTGCAAACCACCTTCTTCCGTTAGACAATTTTAACTTCCTACTCTATTTGTTCTTTCATATGTGTGGCACACCAATTGAAATAAAAGATATGCTGAGGTTCACTTCGGCCTTTACTGATTGTTTGGTTTTAAATTGTGGAAAGAAATTGCCCTCAGGACTGTAGAGGGTATCTGATTTGAGTTAAGATGCTACGTTGATAAAATTCAAACGCTTTTTTATTCTTTTTGAACTATGTCCGAGGAATTTTTTTCTCTCTCTATGTAATTCGATAGTAATAGGCGATCACAAAACAAGTAAGGCAAAAACATTGATGACCTTTATATTCTTGAAAGGAAAAACAATTCAACAACTTTTCGATTTCTCCTGTGACTAAGAAAAAACATACCTTTCTGTCAACAACTCGCAATATTAATAGCAGGTGTGTATGGAAAGCGCGGATAACATCAAAGGAATTGGCTACTTAAAGTACAGCGGTGCCCCTCAAGTTAAAATACTGAATATTACAGTCAATTTGATGAGATTTACTATCTGTAAAGCTGAGTAAAACATGTTTTAAATAAACATATCAAGTGGAAAATCGAGTTAAAAGAGATTGCGATAACGATTTAAAAAAGAAAAATCGCGATAACGCAACGAATGCTTTTATCGCTGAATTTTGAAAACCATGTACCACTTAGACCAACTTGAAATCTTTTGTAGTTCTGATGAATAAATAGATAGGTGGAGCAGCATCAGTTAAAATCACAAGCAAGTAAAGCCAAACTGAGTGTTTTCTCTTAATAATTCAAGAAATGTATAGCCTTAGTTGTAAGTAATGTAGCAGTGCCGAAGAATTGATATACTTAGAGTTGTGCAGTACCTGTGATGAATTTGCTCTGTAACATGGCGGCAAGCTCAAGAAGAAATGTTAAGGTAAATTACAGGTTAAGCAGACCTAAATGTATTGCAATGAAAATAAAAAGGAATTTTGAAACGATAGAAATATAAAGAAACAATTTTGGCCTAGTTTACCCTTGAATAAGGAACCGTTGACATGGGAAACGTTTGAACAATTAAAAAGAGAAAAAAAAACTTACTGCTCATTCATATTTCACGCTCATAAATACTTAAGGGTTTTTCCCACAAACTAAATCTTGAGACCGCCTTTTACACCGCAACAAACAACACTGAGCAAACAGGAATAATTCTCCGCAATAGATTTTATAGGGACGGGCGGACAAACCTTTTACACCGCAACAAACAACACTGAGCAAACAGGAATAATTCTCCGCAATAGATTTTATAGGGACGGGCGGACAAGCCCTTCGTCTCCTTCACGAATCTCAAAATCACTGATTCAGCTGACTAAAGCCGACTTAAAACTTAAAACATCCCCCTTTACACGTTAACAAGAGTAAGTCGAGTAGGAAATGTTTAATAGCTTTTGCTTTCAAGGTCACGACGAAGGGGGTGATTTTAAATCCAAAAGTTCTGGTTCTGACTGTGTACAGAATATCCTGTGTACCACAGGAATTAGTCTCTAATCAGTAGAATTTCACTTAAATTGTCGCACTGTCTCCAAAGTCGACGGTTAAATAAATGAGTAAGTGACTTGCCTCCTAATTCACTTGTTTGTTTAAAATAGTACGTTTATAAAGCGTAGGCAAGAAACGAAACGGGTAAAACTAATGCAACAGCGCTAAAAAAGTAGTGTTAGAGTTTGACTTCAAACCGCAAACTAGCCCATGCTATTCATACTTTACAATTCATTGCGATCAGTCGCCTTAAAGAAATAACTCGTGCTATCCTGATATTTTAATAAGTTGAAATAAGAATCACATACCCGTGAGTGTGGACAACGCAAATGTAAAATAACAATAATAATAATAAAACGGCTCAAAATTCAAGAACCCGTTAAAGGTGAATTCAGAAACTTTAGGCTGAAACAAGGCTGTTTCATTAACCATTCTAACTAGTGGGTCCAATGCAATGTTATTTATGCCATGAACTGATTTCGAACTATATTTTTAGAAGAAAAAGTCAGCAATAGTGTATAAAAATGTCTCTGTTACTAACAGCAAGCAAACTAATGTAGAGTTTTCTGATAAGGATCTTTATAAGCCCCGCTTTTAGGTACCTACTATTAAGGTAACTAAAGAGAAAGCCGATAAAACTAGCCCTAAACATCTATTATTTCTAGTTGAAATATGACTCCAACCAGTTCTAGGTGGAAAATATCAGAACATCTGAGCTCTCAGTAGCTGATGACAATACTTTTATCCCTCAAAATAATAGCTTTAAAAATAAAAGTCTGGGGGGATTGTTATTTTCACAATTTGAAATCTCCAAACAAGGCATTGATTCCAAAGAAAGATTAAAATAAAACCGGCAAACAAACAAACAACAACAACAACAATAACAAAAAAGACAGAAATTCTTCGTTATAAATTCACATACAGTGGAGATACCTATCTCCCTACCTGATTAAAGGGAGCCCCAAAATGTGATTTCGTATAACATTCAGGGTCATTGTTTATGACGCTCTTTTGCGAAAATGAGAAAGTCCCTGAGAAGTAATGCATGGCTCCTGAAGTCCTAATTGATAGCTTAGAAAATATTTCGTACAAGCTTTACAAGAAGCATCAGGCAGTTCGGAAGAAACCGGAAGGTGTTCGCCAATGGTCTTGTTTATTGATCTTACTAAGTTCATATCGTTTTGCAGTAATACGCTTTGTGGCCAATTCAGGCTATTGCGACGAGATTGGAGATCAAAGCGCTTTTACTGAGCAAGCTATGTCTCGACATTCAGACTTATTTTTGGGAAAGGAAGCGACTACCTAGAATAGTGAACTCATCTAGAAACTTGAAGGAATTGAATTGACGACATCTTCTATGCAGGAGCTACAATATGTATGCTGTTGTATTTAAAGAGATAATCTTAATTCTCCAAGAGAGGAAAGGTTAAACTTCTGAACACGCTTTAATTGTCGAGCCTATTCTCCTAACTTCATGCTAAGAGAGAGGACAAAAAACATAACAAAAATAATAACAATAATGATGATAAAAAAGTTTAATTAGAATCACCTGATCATTCCGGGTCATTTAAGAAAACGAAAAGAGGACAGGTAGAGAACAGGTCAAAATCCCTTGTAATATATCAGCACAAGAGTCAATTAAAAGTGCTGGAGTTGTTTGAATTATACTACAAAAGGCAAACAAACAAACAAACAAAAAAGCCTAGGGATAACCGTGATTTTACCGGAAAACAGTAGTGAGATGTTTTAAACTAAACTGAATTCTTCTTTTCGTAATTTTATCTGCAGTGATCTCAAGGGGCTGATAAACATCACTGATAAATTATGTGACTTGCAATATAAGGAACTGAATTCTCTAACGAAGGTGATCCTCACCAGAAAGCAAATCGAAGCGATATTATAGCTCTTGGTACCTNGAGATCAAAGCGCTTTTACTGAGCAAGCTATGTCTCGACATTCAGACTTATTTTTGGGAAAGGAAGCGACTACCTAGAATAGTGAACTCATCTAGAAACTTGAAGGAATTGAATTGACGACATCTTCTATGTAGGAGCTACAATATGTATGCTGTTGTATTTAAAGAGATAATCTTAATTCTCCAAGAGGGGAAAGGTTAAACTTCTGAACACGCTTAATTGTCGAGCCTATTCTCCTAACTTCATGCTAAGAGAGAGGACAAAAAACATAACAAAAATAATAACAATAATGATGATAAAAAAGTTTAATTAGAATCACCTGATCATTCCGGGTCATTTAAGAAAACGAAAAGAGGACAGGTAGAGAACAGGTCAAAATCCCTTGTAATATATCAGCACAAGAGTCAATTAAAAGTGCTGGAGTTGTTTGAATTATACTACAAAAGGCAAACAAACAAACAAACAAAAAAGCCTAGGGATAACCGTGATTTTACCGGAAAACAGTAGTGAGATGTTTTAAACTAAACTGAATTCTTCTTTTCGTAATTTTATCTGCAGTGATCTCAAAGGGGCTGATAAACATCACTGATAAATTATGTGACTTGCAATATAAGGAACTGAATTCTCTAACGAAGGTGATCCTCACCAGAAAGCAAATCGAAGCGATATTATAGCTCTTGGTACCTCTAATTTGGATCTCATCATTGCATAAGTTACATGACTGCATTGTGAAGTTCAGTAGGCCTCTACTGAGGTATCTTTGGAGAGTCCAATGCACTGTATTTATGATGAAATTAGATTTAAAACTTAAAAACGCTGTAATACCTTCTCTTGCTTTGCTACTGTGTCTGTGTAAAGTCGCGACATACTCTTGATGAGTTTTCCTTTGTGTGTTATAGAAGCACATGAATTAAGGGGAGTGAGATCGTCTCGTGCAA